ATAATATATTTATATTCAGCAATTTCTCCTTGGAATTTTTGAGTTCACCTACAGACTGGAAAGATGTGGAACAGTCATTCTTCAATGAGCCAGGTCTTCTGCAAGATATGCTGAGTGTAAAGATGGTCAGAATGTAAGGAAATATGAATATTCTGTCAGGACGTATTGTTTAAAACCAAACTTTGGAACAATCAGACTTATTCTGTAAAGTTACTCTAAAAAAAAGGGCATTCAAATCAGCTTTAAAAATTTCAAGAATAGTGTGGAAATTTAAGTACACAGTATAAAAAAAATACGCAAAACATTAAAAAGATAAAAACAGAAAGTTACAGTAAAAATGAGGATGCACCTGTTTGAATTTGTCCATATTACTTTAGTGAAATACTCAAGTCAGTTCTAAGCTTTTGGATCTTTCAGCATAAGAAAATACATAAAAAAAAACCCTCTAAGTTTATCTCTACATTTTTAAACTGCAAAATCTAAGTGAAAAAAAAGCTGAAAAGAAAATCTTTTAAACTAAAGGTGGTAATCAACACTTCTTTGAGGAATACTTAGGAATTCTTACATAGTAATTTTCACATTAAATGCAAATAAGAAGGTCTTAATTATTGAAAAAATGCCTAATGCCCAAATTAAACATCATCCTACTTTTCCCTCAATACTTGGTAAATAAACCAGTAAGCTATGTTTTCAGCTACATAATTGCCGATTTATACATTAACTTCTCTATTATCTACTACAATAATTTTGTTTTCACAAGTGTTATTCAGAATGCAATGTGTTATATTAAGAGGCACACTGGAAATAAGAGAGATTTAGCACTTAAAGATACTGAGCATAATGTTAAGGATGATGCTTGCTACCAGGTACCTTAGTAAGATCTTCAACACAAAATTTAACTAAATCTTTGCAATATTCATCAAATATTTTGAGGTTTGAACTTGACTGTTAGTTTTGCTGGCATTTCCCAGTTAGAGCAGTATAAATACAACTATTCATCACAGAAGTCAGAAAACTAAAACGTATCTGCTCCTGCAATGCTAGAGGACCAAAAACCAAGAGATAGCATGAATATAGATTATTCAACATTTAATTACATGATGGAAAGTGAAGCAACGACACCAGAGAAGCAAAGTCCTAGACTACAGCAAAGAGGACTAGCTCAAATGCAACAGCAGTGGGCAAAGAAACAAACCAAAGAAGCTGCTTACCTTCAGAAGATCCCAGACATACAGGGATCTCTAGACAGATACCCTCACCTCCACTGCCAGCCCTTAAAAGAGGTCTAGGAAGGGGTGGATCCTGGCTTCACCCCTCATGCTCACTCAGGTACACTGCATGCACCTGAGCTCCCTTGGGTTGGCTCTGCTTTCCCACCAGGTGCTCAATCACTGCTTCAGGCCATGACTTAGCATTTCCACTACAAATTACTTATTTGGAAGAAATAAACTTGATAATTTTTATTTTGTTCTAAAGCAATATTATAAAACGAATAATCAATGGTTGTTATATCACACACACACACCCCCTGAGCTAAAATTGAAATACTCGAAGTACTTCACAGCTTTCTTAACTTAAAAAGAACACGTTCATTTGTACAGTAAACATAATCATTAATCTGACATTTTTCTTCACCTTTTACACAATTATTTTGGAAGCACACTGCCACTATACACAGACCTAAGGACATGCAGGCACAGTATAAATATAACACACACCTTATATCAGTATACCCTAGTATCTCTCTTTGTTGTCTTTTCTTAGCAGAAAGAAGACAGCATAAAGACACTGTTCTCTTATGCTTCCAGGACAAGTTACAATAATGACAAATAACAAGTATTATTGGTAGTAGATTTTAAAATTAGTCTTCAATTTACAACTAGTTTATAAAGAGTTATCAATTTTCAATAGGTTCGTGCAACACACTAATATACACTACAAATAATTCTAACAGATCCACACTGGCAAGACACGAAAACTTCTGAATCCTAGATCATATTACAAATTCTTTGTCATTTACTGAAATGCTACTCAGTGCATTAGACCTTTTAACAGTAATACAAATCTAGTAACTGAAACCATCTTTGCTGCATTAAGTAGTGAGGTTCTGCCAGCATGTATGCGCTCTGGGACAATTCTCTGACTAGCACTCTAGCACTATCAAGACAACCCTGTCACTCACTGTCACAGCAATCACACTGACTGGTGTAGCCTCAGCTGGATGCCTGTGCCTGCTCTTCATGCATTAGAGGCTCTATCTTGTAATTTGCACTGCCCACGCAAGTGATGTCTTGCACACAGGATGGCTTACATTGAAGAGGATCCTGAAGTTCACCTATTCCAGCCCCCTTGACATGGGCATGATTGCCAATCACCTGATCAGGCTGCACAAGATTCCATCCAACCTGGCCTTCTGTGCCTCCTGAGATGGGCATCAACCTCTTCGGACAACCTTTTCCAGCACCTCACCATCCTCTGAGCAAAACATGTCTAACCTAAATCCCCCCTTTTTTAGTTTAAAACCATTCCCCCTTGTCCTATCGCTATCAGAGAGTGTAAAAACCTCAGTCCTGCTTGTAAGCTCCCTTCAAGTACCAGGCGGCCATAACAATGTCTCCCCAGAGCCTTCTCTTCTCCAAGTTAAACAAGCCCAATTTCCTTAGTCTTTCTTCATAGGAGAGGGGCTCCAGCTCTTTGATCATTGCGGCCCTCCTAAGGACCCACTCCTACAGTGGGACACAGTTGCATGCTTTAGGACAATCCCAAATAGATGTCTACCAGAAAACACACCTGCTAGAGGCACTGGCTAGCCACACTCAAGTTCAAGGAACGCATTAGTTAGTTGTGGTCTATTACACCCAGTTTAAAGTAGCCTGAGGATAACACAACCTTAGGAAAGGCTGTTATAGAAAAAGATATACAGAGTTACATTGAGATTTAAACTGTACGACTCCCTTGGCCTTTCCCTTATTTCTCGAGTTCCCCTGCTTCCAAGGCTGGATACAGATGCTGACACTAAATTGCCCCATGTGAATGGGCAGTATTCTGAATGCCTACATTCAAACATCACTGGAAAAACCAAGGCATATCCAATATCCTAACTGCACATGAATGCAAAATATACTAGGCTTTAAAATAACTTAACCTGATTGGATTTAGATGACATTTGTGAAATGGTTATTCAATTCCTGCAAGTCCAATAAGGCACAAGATGCAGTAGAGCCTGTGAGGAGCTGTAGATACTGATCAGCTAGCTGAACAGCCATGCGTGTAGCCGACTGAGAAAGTCTAAAAATAACAGTATCAAGAATCAAATGAATGCTTTTTTGTATCTCAAGAACAAAGCACCAGTTCAGAATAACAGAGCTATTTATGGGGCTATGAAATAACACACATCACATTGTGGATGCTCTTTAATTTCACAGATGTGATTTTATTACATTACAGCCATCATAACTCATATGTATTATAACGTACAGGACAGAACTAAATCAAAGTCCATAGAGATTCGCATCATGTTTTATAATTATAAAGCACTATAAGCTTGCATTAAGATGAAAAGCATTAGTTATGGTCAATATTAATAGGCAGCTGCATATTAAAGCAACAATGATATTTATGGCATCAATTAAAGGGTTCAAAGAACTACCAGCAAAAAAGATATCCTCAGTGCTTAAGTACCAAAGAGCCAGTGATAAGCATTACCAGAAGCTAAGTGTGTACACTACCGCGGTCAGTCCGTACTCCTTTGTCCCCCTGGCAAGTTCATTAAGTACTTTAATTTGTAAACCTTGAAAATAGCTTTTATGAAGAACTATTGGCACATCAAAAGCAACATTTTCTTTATATTTGAGCAAAAACGGACTAAAAAGCCCCCCTGGGAAACCTCCTTTGAAAAAGAACAAAACCACCAGTGAGATGTTTTCCAGGCAATCTATCACAGAGGAGTGAATGCCTACCACAGTCTAATACCACTTTCTTATCCTGATTTAAGCAGCAATAATCTTTGTAAGAGACAGAAATACGCTATAATAATACATGAGAATAAAGAAGAGCATTTAGGGACTCAATTTTAACAGCACCTCTGGACACTAAATGGAGAAAAGATACACAACGGAGCTTCAGTTTAAAAATCAATATGAAACCCATATTTCTGTGAAAATACTAGTATTCTTCAGAACTCTATTTTGTCATTATAAACACAAATGCTCATACACAAAGTAGTATGAAAGGAAAAGTTCGGGGTTTTTCTGGGTCATTTTCATCTCCAACCAATACTAAATGCATTTTAGAAAGCATCATTTCTATCAGCTGCCTAGGGTCACTTTCTGTCTAGCTTAAGTGGAAGAGTATGACTTCAGTATATTAGCAAAAAAAAAAAAAAACCACAGTAAATCTTGAGACTGCGCAAATACGTAATGTTCACCTCTACTGAAATAGAAAAACCTACAGGTTTCTTTCCCCCCAAATGCAATGAGCTAGAGCAAATTTAATTTCACAAGTTCAATATCATTCAGAAAAATTCACAAGTTCATGCCACTGTATTCATAGAAGGCAGGGACCGTCCAGCTAGATTTTGACCTTTAATGTATCTAACCAGTCAGTGGGTTGGTACATGATCCTCTCTGCTTTTTATCTGCAGACAATACCAACTGTGGTGTTAAACTTCAGATTCACCTGTTTTATCTTTCAGCTCTAGAAGCTTCCTTTTCAGTCCCAAGTTAGTTGGAGAAAAAAACGTTATCTTCCCATTCAATATAATGGTAGTCCTACAGCTATTGGCCCCAACTAGAAACTACTAAGTTTACTTCAGTTCTCAAATACTGCAGGTTGTCAAAATGCAAGCTATTAACATCAGCATTTTTCTTTGTTATTCATTTGTTTAGCCCAACCCTCATGCTACCAACTGAGGCAAAACGAATCACTCAGTCGGCCCCTGAATTTAGAAGTGCCACCCATCCTTTACTTCATCACCCAGAAAAAAGCATAAACAAACCAACCTGTTTAGCCAGCTGATCCTTCTTCACCAAGCCAGTGGCTGCAGCAATATTCCCTGCTCCTTCCACTGTCTTCTGGGCCACTGCCGTCACCCCTGTCACCACAGCTCCCCCAACATTGGATACCTGCTCTTTGGTCTTCTCAGCCACTAAGGATAAACCGAAGATGGAAAAACATTACAGATTTCGGAACTGGAGGTTACTGAGCTCTTCAGAGTCATATTTATCACTGGCAGCCCAATGTCATAGAAGGGCCTCAAGTGGATCTTCAGTAATGAAGATTACTTCAGTTAATCTGATCACAGTGGAGCAGGAAAGGTAAAAGCAAGCCTCATCTGTGGCCCTTATTACACCCAACACACAGTGTAATACCTAATTAGTGCACTCCATATAGCACATTTTGGAAATGCATTCAAATTATTTCAAACACCCTGCTGCATGTTACTTGGCATGGAAGACTCTTATTTTAAATCTTAGACTCAAAAGCTTTTGATTACCTCTCTTTTTTAAAATATGTGATTAATAATCAAAGCTACTACTGCTTGACCAGAGCATTTCTAATACAGCATTTTACCTGATTTGCTGAGATTTCTGCCTCACTGCTGATCCTTCCATCCACAACATACAAACTACAAGAAGATTGAATGCCAAAAATGCCTAAGCAAACTGGATTAGTAACTAATTTCAAAGCCTTAGGGAAACAGACTCATTTAGCCTACATATACATCAGCGGCCAACCTTCTACCTTTCAGAGTATTACTGGATTCTTTCTGCTCATTCATTCCCAAGGGCTCTTTTCCCTTGCAGCAACTTGCATTCCAGTGAAAACCCTCTAAGAGTAAAGAAATGAGGTGAACTCATGCCTTCAAGTCACAGGATCAGATATTCAGAAAAAAGAGCACTTAAGAAAACAAGGGAATAGTCTTCAAGAATATCCAGCACATAGCTTCGTTACTCTAACTAATTCTGTATTTTCTCCAATCAAAATTCCATCTGACCCATAAAATGCATTCATAACTCTTGCTGCGTTCCTTATGAGCACAGGCTTGATATACAGGCTAACCTTTCAGAAAGTTTTTGAAGTATATACAAAGAAATTATTTTTTGCAGATAAACTCGAATTCTTTAACAGCTTACAAAAAAATCAGCTTTATATAGCAGAGGGGGATGCTGCATAGATTGCCATGATTGATATTAAGTAATGGCAAAGTCTATAAAGGTAGTAAAATCTCATACCAAGTACGATGTTTAAAGACCTGAATAATAGATATCTACTGACAAGGCAAATGATTTAATGCTTATTCTAACCAGCTTTGTGTGAGAAAAAAATATACACAATTAAAACAGTGAAGATTTCAAGGCATCCAAAGCTGCTGACAAACTCCTAACCTGTTATTTTTCATAATAGCTTAACACTTGGTACAAAACCAGTAAGCTGGTTCTTTAGAAAAATACTGTCATTCAGAAACTAGAGCCACTGACATAAATGAAACTAACTATACACATAGCACAGATTTGTAAGCGTGCTAGTAGGAAAGGTTCGTTTTTCAGTTTCTAAAGAACACAAACACTATCAACATTCCTATTACCAGAACGATTCTGTAAATAGGCTCTAACTTCATAAGCCTTCAGCTATGTAACTCTAGTGACATGTGGGAAACAACAAAATAGGCTTCCAGTACTACATTTTATTTTTTTTTTTTGCTTACACTAAGTAGTAACAAGGGACAAGCATTAAGTGCATATTAATTTATTCTGAACGCAGCAGTCCTACCAACTAACAAAATTAATCTGAACACCAGGTTGTTAAATGACTTTAAGCTGTTAAGTCTTTAACAAATTGATATCTGCTTTGCATCACAGTGCTGAGAGAGTAAATTGGTTTCTGTAGAGCTCTACTGTGCTGTGGCCTGATTACTTGTGATCACCTGTGGAATAAGGGATCCCGGAATGACATATAATAGCCACTTCAAGGCTAACATTGAAATGGAATTTCTAGTAGTGACTATAACGTTCTACCAAAAGTAGTAGTATTGAAGGTTTTGTTTCCCCTCATCATAGACAACTGGGTAATAAAGTTACAATATTCAGAACAATTCAAAATGAGAACTTGCTCTTTTCTATTTTGATCATCACAAGTAGGTGAAAGCCACACAATTCCTCTGAATCAGTGAAATTAATTCTTACTAAATATACTTTCAAATATGTATTTCAGACAAAAAGATTGCTCTAGGTACTTGAAAAATTCATTTATGAAGAAGCCATGAGTAAATTGTGGGTTTTTCAGTTGATACATTTACTCTAAGATACCTGACAATTAAAATGAATGCAACTGGAATACCTGTGACTAAGAATATAAAGAAGCTATCCAATATGAACAGTTAAATAAAAGAATTAGGCAAAAAAAAAATAGACCATGATTGATAACTGCTAAAATTGTCTCACTTCAGGAAACTGACATCTGCTAGTAGTACTGAGGCAGAGGACTTTCTGGCCTTGAGCTTTTTTACAAACCAGGGCTCTACTTGGACTACTAGGACAGTCTGTAAACATCCCATCTTGGATGCTGCACATTTCCATGCACTTGTTCTTGGGAGATGAGTAAGATGCACACGTTACTACACATTTAGAATCAAAGGACTATAAACACGTCAATTAAGCAGGCAAGTCAGATACACAAGCTAGTACCCCCATAAGGTCAATAAGCAACACTACTTTTCCTCTGGAAGTTTTGAGAAAGGGTAACCTGACAAATAACAAGTCCACAGCATTCCTATTCTGCAATGTCTTGAAGTGACTAAAGCTGGTAAAAATCAGGCCACACTTTAAATCAGGAAACTTCTTAAACCTTGTTAATTTCTGGGTTTGGAAAGCCACTAACTGAAAAGGTTATTTCATTGATCAGCACTCTAAGGATTATCAGTGTCTTCACCAGAGGGTTTTACATAATCAAAAATAGGAAAACTAGCAAGACCTTGGAGCTCAAATAGTAGGAAAGAACTGAAAACAGTTTCATTTGGATCTGTGATTCTATTTCACATTCAAACGTCTCTAGCCTCTTGAATAATTTCTTTTTTTTCCAGAAAATGTGTTAATGCATCTCGAGTTTCACATCAACATCCTAGCACATATTAAGATCACCAGAACTGGCAAAATCCTAATCCTACGGGGAAAAAAAAAAGACAAGCAGACCTTTAGAAGTACCAGCATTATCACTGCAAATTTCACGTATTTAACAGATTTGATTTCTAGAACACCTTCACTAGCATTTTTCAGAGCATCTTTACTTTTTATCTTTGAAAAAAATCAATCCTGTGAATCCAAATCTGTTTTCATCTCCCCTCTTCTACCTCCCAGAACAGCACCTCATGAGTTTGTTTTATTCTATTGCTCTTCCCCTCCATTTCTAAGCAATTCCTCTGTTTTTATACAACCAAGTCCATACTGCTCCATTTTAGAAATGACGTTCTCAGGATTTTACATCAGCTCCTCTCTTCTGTCCTCTGCATGCCCTCTGCCCATTTTTCATTGTTATTCAACAGTCAAACTCCTGTCAGCCAGCTGAAATGAGTCAGTATTACGCCAACTGTGGCACAGTAACCATTATTCTCAAGCTATGAGTTACTCATTTCATAAAGTGGATGAGGAACTTTGTCTAAAATTCCCAGTAATATCGTTGAACATTGTACTTATAGGCGCAGCACAGAACAGATGTGTTCTCTCTCTGTTTTGATTTATAGTCTGTTATATATCACGCAGAACAAAATTTAATATATCTTCAAATCTGTCAAAAATCTGTTCTCTTAGTTTAAATTTCCTGTCTCACTATATATATTATATCTGATAAAGATGGAGGGAAAGGAATCTCCCACTAAGCTAGCCTACTACAGAAAATCATTGCTTCAACAAGTTTCTCAAAGCCCAGTTTAGTAAAAAAATTAACTGTTAACTTGCGTGCAAGTGCTATCTATTGTTCCCACATCTGTGATCAAATGGGATATACATGCCCCAAACCTTATTCTACTGCAATCCTCTATTGGTTACAGTAATTATCCTACCGAATACTTGCCTTAATTTAGGTCTAACAAGCAGAGATTTGAAGCCTCGTAAAAAGAACATAAATCTATTTAGCCCACAGCTTAGTTCTGAAGGCCTGTCAGAGATGTTCTCATCAACTGTGCTCCTAAATATACACTTGGTTTACTTCTCAAACATTTGAGTTCTGATATTTCCTGTCAAGTAAAGTCTAACAGTTTATTCTTTGCATTAACCTGTATAAGCACAGATCAGTGATAACCTCGCTGTACAAAAAGTAGAAGAAAAAAATCCTTTCCTATTCCCATTTTCATTTGCATTGTTCGGTGGTTTTTTTTTTTTTTATAAGAAAAATACTGCATGTTTCTTGACTGAACATTTTCTTCAAATCTCCACAAGTCTAGTATTTTGCAGAATAAAATTACACATTCTACTCAATGCATTACGGTCAGCTCAAGTTTTCCTGCACTTCACATACATACAGTATTTCCATTCATTCTGCCACTTACTAGTTGCTTCAAATTATTGGTTACTGGTTTCAATTTGTATAATAAATGATCCCTGTAAATCACTTTGAAATGCAAATTCATTCCTTTTCAGTGTAGAAGTATGCATGTAAAGATACATGGCTAGCAATAACTTCAGCATTTGAAAGTACTGTTGCAACAGAGAGATTATGCAGTTAAAAATATTTGAACATCTTCTAATCCATGACAAATTCAAATGAGTTGAACAAAACTCTGAAACATGTTTCATTCCTACAAGCTATTTCCCTCCTATCTTCCCACTCAGCCAGCTCCTGGGAGACATATTGATGAGTCACAACCATCTTTTAAGAGTGGAGGGAGTGATGGGGCACACCCATACTGTTGTTGCAGTAAGACCTAATCTAAGTCACTACCTGTAGTGGAGTGTTGAAAACAGTTCTCAGACAAGGATGAAGAACCAGTACAAACACCAATAACCAGGTATTAAGTTTGTGGAATTTTTTTTTTCAGGCACAGACTGTTAAAATACAGCTATGCACTACACTATAGCTACACTTAAGTATACTGGAGGCAACCAGCTTAATGGATGGATATAATCACACAGACTGCAATTAGCAGCAATGACTGCCGCAGAGCTAAGTTGACAACTATATAGGAGAAACCCCCATTTTGCATCATGGCTTTAACTGTGAATTATCAAAAAGACTTTTGCACAGACAAACTGATGGCGCCACTGCTGGCCTTAACTGCAAACCCTCCCAGCGGTTTCTCTTTTCTACCCAGCTCTTACAGTCCCTGCTGTATAAAGGAGGTTTCTTCTACATTATTTGCCTCCTTCATCAGTTGCATTAATTCCTTATCTACTATACTAGCATACATCCTATTTGACTCCACAGGGTCCTAAATCAGCAGATAAATGTCCTTCAAACTTATGCCCAAGTCCTTCCCTACCGTACCTTCCCCATCACTCCCGTTCAGTGCTATTTCTCTTCTCCACTCCCACCTCCAATCCCACTACTCTTCCTCCTCAAATAACAAGCAAACAGAATTGGACAAACACACCAGGCTTCCAAAAATTCTTCACAAGAAAACTAAAGCTTTTTTATTTTCAATGTCACCATGCTTGTAACTTTCCTACATAGAATATTTTGGCAATAAACAAAGAACAAAAAAGAAATAACTTTGGTATACTTACTTCTACAAACACAAGCTATTTCCTTCTCTTGGAAATCTGTTTTCACTAGCCCTCCAGCTCACACTGGCATAGCTTGACTTTGATTCAGAATACTGCTTAGAAAATCCTCCTCACATACAATGATATTACACTTAAATATTTCACTGTAAAACATAAAACTTTACGCAGTTTACATCAACATTTCTTTACACTTCTCAAATTTTCCTACATTTTACCATCCCTCAGAAGCATGAGCATTCAAAGAAATAAAAAAATTTAATAGAGAAAAATTTAATTAATCAAGAAATTAAGAGAATTGACTTACCCGTTGTGACACCATGAACAACTCCTTCCTTGGTCCTGGAACCTAAACAACAAACAATATTCAGTTGAAAATACTTGCTCTTACATACTGGTAAAGGCAAGATGGATAATAAGGTAGAATGAATAGATAGAATACATACTATTGCACAGTTTCCAAATTAACTCAACAGAAATTCCATCTAAGGGAAAGGCTCAAACTGTCAATTGAAAGCAACTATTTGAACTAAAAAAAAAATGATAATACTGCAAGCACTTCTGCAGTTAATTCCTTGTACTTACTGACTTTCTTGCCATTGTCTTAACAGTCATGTTAATTAAGTCTGCCACTCCAAACTCACAGGGACAGCTGCACAGAAGTCATTAGGATGTTAATACTAAGATGAAACTCATGCATGCATTTTCCAAAGATCAGACTCCAAGTTCCCAAAAGATCCTTATAACTTCTAACAACTCTTGTTCAAATCTTGGTTTCTAGGGAATTAACAAGCTTTACTGAGCCTACAGAAAGACTTAGTAGATAAATTCACTGGGAACTTTTAGAATGGCTAGATTTAGACAAAGAGCAATCTGAAAGGGAAACATTAGGTAGCAGTCAGCACTTAAACATAAAAATGTCCACGGGGTCAAAATCAAGGCTCACCTAATGCACTGCACTCCTTATCACTGACAAGAATAATCAACAAAGGTTCTGCAAACAGAAACCTTAAGCTTGCGCAGCACTGAGAAATATTATAAGACCTGCTTAAACAATTTAGCTTGGCACCCTGAAGACCAAGCCGAGTTCTGGAATGCCCATGTGAAAATACCATGACGACGACTTCTTTTTAACTACCAAAAAAATTATACATCATTATTTTTGTGTTCACACGTCACTCAGTATTTCAGACTTTATAATTAGTATTTGACTCACCACTTCTAATACCTATGTAATTTCAGCATATCACTATATACAAATATATAAACACAAACTGATACTAGCAGAAACACATGAGAAGATAACAGTAAATCAGCAGAAATACATTAGAAGAAAGCAACTTATTATAATTCCTTGAAAGTAATATAAATACACGCTGGAATAACATGAAAACCTCATTCAAGCATACTGTTCACTGCTAGTGCCAATTTGTAGAGCTTACACCATGAATTTATGACACTATTAGATTGATTACAGCATTGAAAAGGCTCTTATATATGAGCAAGAGCATTATTCCATTACAAAATTAAATAACGTTGTTGCATCAAGTAAAATGACTTCCTGTTCCTTTAGACAATAAAACAAGTTAAACACCTGAGAAACCTTCCTTTACTTTGATTTTCTCTTCCAAAATTAGCAGTTTGTTTTCTCTCAGGGAAAACATTTACTATTGGAAGAAGAACTCATTTTGGTGAATCCAAGGTGCTAATATTTAAAGACCTGTTCTAGGACTTCAATTCTCAATCTTGCATCACCACGAGCACTGAACAGCACTAAAAACACATGAGGAATTTAAGCAACGACTGGTTCTACTGTCTGGTACAAAGAGACTAAACACCATTTTAGTCTTACAGGAAATCTATTTGAACATTTAACATTAACAACTTTAACATAACTTAACTAAACAACATTAACATACTTTTAAATTCATTTGTAGACCTGACCAAAATATCATTCATCTTACTGAAGTTACTGCCAGTAATCTGAGCCATTAGCAAATGCAAACCTGTGAATAACAAGTATGCAGTTCCGTAGAGCTGATAAGAATGAAGGTGAGAGATGGTATGACAGAATTCCCTTGGGACCTCTATAATGCACTTATCTTCAGAGGAACATCCACAGACTGATTCTTAATTCACTTAACTCTGCTATAAGCACAGCTAGTCTAGAAATGCCAGATCTTTTTGCTGCCAGATTTTTCTTCAGCAAAAGCACAACTTGCTGACCCGTACAGAACAAACATATTTGTGAAAATAACCAGCTAAGCTTTAGTCCAGAACATACAGTATACATTAGAGCTAAACATTCAACTCTCGCATACTTCAATGGAAGTAGCTGTTTCTCCAGACAGAACTACAATAGGATCTAGAAGAACATTAGGACCTGCCAGAACAGGTCTATAAATAGAACTACTGAATTTGTTAGGGCAACTCCTGGCTTGGAATGAATGAAAGCAATCATCCACATTGCTTCCTCCTATTAACTACCTGTCTTTCATTCTGCTATTTTCAAAACATGAATAAATCAGCTCATTATACTCAGCACAACAGGGAGAATAGAGAAACGAGACAAGTAATCTGATACTGACCTATGCCTACTTATTTTAATCAAGAGCAATAGTAGCACACAGTACAATATTTTTCCTCATTATAATAGATATTCAAGTCACTCAGAGGAAACCAAACCCACAATTTTTGTCTTTATGTTATTATCTGAAACAACAGACTCTCTCCATTTCATTACATACAATCATCACTATCAGTTTGTCAACACTCATTTCTGGGCGGTTTTAAGAAATGATTAGAACATAACAAGCAAGCCTTTACTGAGATTCAGGACACTTAGAGCTTGTTGTGAAGACACATAAGCCCAAATCAGGGGAAGGGTAAATCTTAATACTTGCTCCTGAGTGCTGAAGCTCACTATCCCACCAGATGGACCTCCAGCCCCTTAACTCCTTCACAAAGCTTACCTATTACTGTAGGAAAACAAAAAACCTTAAGAAAGTACAGCAGAGGAATTTGGATGGTCCTGCCACATGTGTCATGACTGGACTGATCTACTCTAAGGCCAGTTGAACACAGGGCAGTAAATTCTTCTGCCACAAACTTGTCTCCTGATAAGCTACTCCTGTGTTCTGCTATAGTGTATCATGACTAGAGAGATCAGATTGGAAGCCTCCACTCCTGGGCACCGCACAGACACTCAGAAGTCAACTGAGCACAAACAGCAGCTCCCTGGTAACAACACAGAGCTCAAAGGAACCCTTTAGCAGCACATCACTGATCACATGCAAGAGCATTATCCTTAGTCACAGATCTTGGCTTCAAAGTCGTGTGGGTAAGCATTGCCACGTTTTTCTTCACTGCTTCACACCAACAGCGTTTGAAAGATACACGGAGACCCAGTTTTGAGTTTATGATATCTCAGTCCTCCCTCCTTATCAACAATCAGGTCATTCTTTGAACAGAAAAAAAGGTCCTGATGCTGCTTCTGTAAGTCAAGATAAAACCACTGCATTTCAGTTGGTCAGCGTTGAAGGACATCAGCAGAGGAACTCCGGAAAAAAAGGAAATAATAAAAACATACTACAGACTGTATTAAAGGACATTCTGAGTATTGGTAAGACAGACAAAGATCATAGAATCCTTATGAGTTGGAAGTGACTTCTGAAGGCCATCTATTTCAACATCCCTACAATGAACAGGGTCATCTACAGATAGATCAGGTTGCCCAGAATGGTAGGAGGGAAGACATATATGGAAAGGAAAAAGAACCCCATTAATCCTCCAGGAGATTCCCTCAGAGTTTTATGTTTCACACTTGAACCTAAACAGTAGCTGTTGTTAATAGATTCTCACTATGTAGAAGTACGTTACAATCTTTATCATAATAGTCAACCATTCCCTGGACAGAAAGGCACATATTTTCATTTTTTACTTAAATTACACTGCCAAATTACTTAAGTTCTACTACCTAAATTTATCTCTTAAATGAAAGACCACAGCATCTTGGGAATCCAGACCAAACTTATTTTTTTTCAATCTTGCTCATTTTGTAACAGCAATGGGAGGCTGAATGCCACTGAGATGACTGCTGACACTAAAAATGATTAACATGTCCCTCCTAGCCTAATTTTGTCAGACTGTTTGCAAGACGTCAGGTAGCTTTCACAAATAATCTCACTATCTGTCTTTGCAATTTGTATCTGAAAACTCAGCTACAGAGGCAGAAAGAAATCTTTAGAATCCTTAACACCCTATGCTGCTCCTTCCCTCTGATTATAGAGGTGTTTTTTTTTTTTTAACCACCTTCCAGATTGCAATCATTATCAGCCTACAGAACGAAGAGATTATCACATCAGTCTTTGTTACGCTGTTCAAGAGATGAGCTGCCCCTGCTATGTGCTTGGGAAGCACAGAGACATCGCCAGCTCAGAAATGAAGGGGTTCTGGGCAGCCTAAACACGCTGCTTAGGCAGTGAACACAGAGCTGTGACCCAGTTTCAGCTGCCCTCTGCCAGAACCAAGCCCTCACAGGGGTCCCCAGACACCACTACAATTTGCTGAGCCTATTGGTTTCTGCTCTGATTTTTACTCTCCTTGTTTTAATTCTGGCTTCTCCAGTTGCAGCTGGAGAACCCAAGGAACCAATAACCCAGCAAGTTTATCACTTGGGTCCATTACCTAGTACAACATTTTGAAAACTTAACTATGGAAACCTTGGCTCACTAAACCCAAGCATACACCCAGACACATTACCTGTCAGAAATTCTGAGGAGCAACTCTAACTGAAGTGTTTTCTGCCTGCATCACTGAAACTGCATATAGGTCTTTCTTCCTGAAAAGCATTTATCTGCTGCAGGAAGGTGCTTGCTTCACATCTCTGTAGTTGTATGCACAGATCCTCATTATGGCTCAGGGCTTTGCTGACCAAGGTATTTCAGTTATGAAATAAACAGCAAGCCTGCCCTATGAAGCACAGCCTCAGCAAAAATATCTCTGAAGACAACAAACAGGAAATCTCTTGCCTTTGGGAGGACAGCTAGTTCCAGACATTATTACCATCAGGAGAAGAGCTCCGGGACAAGGATTATTTCAGCACACAACACAGGTTTCCAATACAAAGAAATCAATGACCCTAAAAGTACACTCAAGATCAACAAAAAAATGAAGTTTTAAAATAAAGCCATATCCTTAAAATTAATTTTAATATCAAGCATGATGTGCAGTGAAAGTACAGCTATTTCGATGCTGGAAATGAGCAGATGCTCATTTTTAAATAGATTCATCTTACAACTACTTTTCAAATTGACTTCCATCTCTGTTGGCAAGAGCACCAAGCTCAGCTACAGCTCAGCAGGAGAAGAATATATTCCAAATCAGTAGTCTAAACTACATGGAGAAGAAATAATTTGTTACAGACTGCCATTAAGGGCAAGGGGATTCCCTTGCAACTGCAAAGGATTCTGCAAGGGCAGAAGGAATCCTGGAAAGACGTACAGAAATATCAGTTCTTCCATTTAAAATAAATACCTCTGGATTTGAACTCTGTTCAATTCGGTACAGAAACAACCTGCTGCCAAATTATTAAAAAAAGAGCAAAACTACAGAAAAGAATCTATTTTCCTTTCTATTCTACTACCATGCAACTGAATTTCACAAAAAATACGGAATTCCTCCAGTTGAAATGACCTATTTGTATGGTCTTGGCAGTTCTTTTCCTGGACATTTTTCACGATGGCATTTACAAGACAGTATTTTAAGGCCTGAGAGTTGCTAAGCGAAAATGATGATCACGCCATCTACATACCAATGCGGGATTTAAAAAGAACCTCTTCCCTGGTTCATGCAAGGTTCTTGCATAGTCTGGATAAGTCAACTAACATCTGCTTCCCATTGTCTCCACTGCTGCTTGGAGGACTAACTACCCTAGCTCAGTGACTGTAAAGGTTCTTCTTTGAGAAGCAAAGGAAATTAACTGCTGTGCAGTAAGTATAGAACATCAGGTCAATTTTGAATGATAAGGTGTCTGTTCCTTGTCTTTCAAAATGTTACTGTTGAGGATTTTTATTTAGTGAAGAAAGTAAACAAGCTCATTTCTTCACTTACCCTCATTTTATTCCAGGAAAAGCCATTGACATTTCTTACACTCAGTTCCAGAAACAACATCTCAAGTTTCTGCTTTTAAAATCCTGCTTTAGACTCAGGCATTCTACAGGACTCTGTGAAAATACTTCCCATATAGCAAACATCTCGAATAGCACCAGCCAGTAACTTGCATTGTAAGGCCTCTTCTACCAGGCAAGCTTATCCTTTATGACACTACAAAAGCTGCCCCACAATGCAGCCACATACGGCCAGCACAACACAGTGACAACAAGCAAAACAGTGACAGTACAACACCACAAACAAACACACAAACAGCAATCTTCAAAGACCTGGAGCTCAGGTGAGTTCAAGCCCCATCCTGTTTACTTTGCGGTTAACCCTCTTCTGTAAACAATTACATACTTCACAGAAGAGAGAATTCAGCTCTTTCTTTCAGATGAGCAGGGCTGTCAGGGAAAACTAATCAGCAGCATGACCTTGCTGCCCACCTACCCACATAGAGGACTCCCTCTTTTGTCTTTCCTGCTGCTTCAGCCACTCCTTGCTTGGTTTTCTCTGCTGCTGCTACAACTCCCTCCTTTGCCTTGTTTAGTCCTTTCATGAACACATCCATGGCTGAAGAATTTCTTCACACAAAACTAGGAAAAAAAAAAAAAAAAAGTGCTTTGAATAATGATTCTCAGCTTTTTTTTTTTGCCAGCAAAGGAAGAAAATTACATTAAAACTGATTGAACATCAAAATATTTAAAAAATAGGTTATTTACACCAACATATTATATAACTTCTATCTACATCTCTATCAGCAATATACACATAGCTGCCTGTATCCTGTAGTGTAGATAGAAAAAACAGTTAAAACCAAGCAGCTCAGTTACACAAGTCACCTTTACATCTTCTCACATGCTATCACAGATAGCAAGTCAAGCAGCATGGCTAGAGTAGTCCCTAAAAGGCCTGGGAGTTCCCACAGAAACCTACAGAGGTCACTGACAACGCAGTTCTCATCTGAAGGTGCATTCATTGGAAGGAGCAAGCCCATTCCTTGCCCATCACCATCTCCTCCAAAGGACAGTTTGTTCATCTGCTATCGGCAAGATCTAATCCCATCATTTGCTGATGCTCCACCTTCTCATTCAAAGGAAAATCTTAAATACTAGCTACTTCACAAACACCTCTTCTAAATGAGAAACGTTCACTTATTGTTAGAAGAACCGCTAGCATTCCAGAAGGACTTGAGCACACACAAAACACTGCTTTTCAGCAACTCTTCATTTTGCGTGCAGCTCATATCACTCTGCCAGTACTTGAGTTCTCCAAAGGGATCCTGCACATGTATCAAGTCTAAGGAAAAAAAATTACAAAAACGCAAAGCCAAGAACATGCAATGCTAACAACTCTGCACTACAGCTAGCAAACGAGTTCTGTGGCAGCTATACAGCCCCACGCTACAATTAAGCTACAAAGACAGTAATTAAAGCCACCAAGTCAGCATCCCTTCCACAATCCCATCACGACAGACCTTCCCTCTTCTCCCTCCCCCTCTCAGAAGCGGCACTGCCTGCTAGTTCCTTCCCTCCGCCAGAGGAAGGGATGTCTAGGAAGGCAGTGGGCAGCTTGCTACTAACCCGTGGCAATCAGAAGGGCAGCATCCGTGCCCCAGTGCTACACCATGGGCAGCACCGAGAGCAGGTGTGGGAGCACCTGGGTGCAGCGTGGGGGAAAAAAAGCAATACACGGCTACGTGGCTCTGTCCAAATAAAAGAAAGGGCACCTGTGGAGGGAGGAAAAGAAACGCACAGGGCTCTCCTACAAGCAAATAGCTCTATCTATAGGGACTACCCGAGGAGAAGGGGAGGGCGACGTGAGCAGATAGCACCCAGCGGCTCCCGCACACGGCAGCCGCAGCACCCGCTGGTTTCCCCTCTCGTTCCCTTCCTCCTTCGTGCCCAAAGGAGAACGCTCGGCGGTAAAAGCACCTCTATACCCCTGCACCTGTACGCACACTCACCCCAGCTGCTGCCCAGCCCCGGGGGAGCAAAGCCCCTCACGCATTCCCCACCACTTACCGCTGGGTCCGCCGCTGCAGGAAGGCGGGGGCAGGCAGGGAAAGAGGAGGGCGAAGCGCGGAAACCTGATGGGAGCTGCCCCTTCTCAGCACATCGCCGAGTCTCCCGACACCGCCCCGACGGCAGCACGGCGGGCAGCGAGTGTGAAGGAGAGTCAGGGTGAGGGGAGGGGAGGTGGGAGGAGGGACCGGGGGCGGTGGGGCGGCTCCCAGCCTTCATCCCCGGCTGGGGAGGGGGAGTGTGCTGCAGGTCGGCTATGCGTCGTGACGTGGGGGTGGGAGGTGAGGATAGGAAAAAAGCGGAGGGGAGAGGCTGAGGTCCTGGTCACCTCGTGGCACCACCTGTCCGCTGTTCGCCCCGGGGCTGAATCACCACCGTACTCAGAAGCAGTATGAGCAAGCTATTGGCACACCTGTTTTGCTTCACCCACGGCTCAGAAAACGCCCCCGAGCTCTTGGTTACTTCCTATCGAAAGTCTTCAGGTTGGAGTGACTCGAGGTGAATGCTGCCGTTCTGTCAGGATTCGTGCTCCCAGCTCATTTTCAAGGATGGCGGGTGATTCTTTCACAGAAAAAAAATATGAGTCTTAGCCCTACTGCAAAAATACAATAAAATCTTTATCCAAATGACGATGAGAAGCCCAAACTCCCAACTGTTGGACCCCTTAGTGGTCTCCATTGTACAGACCAGGGCCACTGCTGCTCCCCTCTTGCTCTGTTGCACTCAAGTGACTTTTCTCCAGAAAGAGAAAGCAATCACATTTCTCTGTATTGCTACAGAGCGTAGGCATGAGAAGCCGAATTCAGTGAGAAACAAGGTATTAGAACAGATAGACCTTCAGCATCAGTACATCAGTCAGCATGCTGTACAGATCCTGCAAAACCTTGCAGAAACAGTTTGTTCTGTCAGTGCAATCCAAAGGAGAAGCAGAGCTTGGTACAGATGAGATACAGGGACATGAGCTGCACAAAGCACCTTCAATCCATCATCATGGGCAGGCAGCTGATGGGGCCCTGCTTTTATTTCCATTCTGAGCATACAATGGAGAGTTTTTTTTTTTTTTTTTTTTCCTTTCTCTCCAGGTTTCTTAATATTTATCTGCTGCTTGGTAAGCTTTCTGGGGATTCACTCCACTACCAGATTTAACCAACCAAACATTTGGTGATAGGTTGTATTTCCTTGCATCATAAAGTGCTGTCTGAGAATACAAACCATTCCTCCTTAATTACACCCTCCAGAACATCTTTAACAAGCATCCAGGAATCGCACTAGGAGGCAGCACATCTTATTCATCATGAGCTGCACATTTGTACTTAATGATGCAAATCTTGATGTGGTATTTCCTTCTAGCAGTGGGGGAGAAACACAAGTGTAATATTAGACAGTAAATCCAAAGAAATAAAAGTCCCATGCTTTCTGCATAAAGACAACATTTTTCTTCCCAAATGTTACAAGCTGCCACGGTTTTCTGATTTTTGTTATCAATATCCCACATTGTAACATCACATACAGCACTGGTAGTTAAAGAGTTAATGCTCCAGTTCCATGGATTGTCAGTATTTCCAGGTACCTGGTTCTCAGCAGAGAAGAGCTACATATCCCATAAGACTGTCACTGTTCCGTTTTGCATTTGAAGGGGAAAGATGCAACTGTTCCTAAGTCTGAGATGCTCCTTCTTTTACGCTCCTCTCTGCCATGTGTGCTCCCTACCCATCTCGCCTTCAGCATTAAAGCCTTCAGTATTGGACTCTCTCTTGCTTTATTTGATTTATTACCTTCACTTACAATTACACTGTATTATATTGTGTTATCTTCCATTCTGATTAGTAACTTAGTTTTTACTCCCTTCGCCTATTGCTGATGTTTATAGGCCTGTCTCCCTAGCTTTTCCTCCTTCCCCTCTCCCAGGGCATGGGTCCATAGCTCCTCCCACCCCATTAATCTCAGAAGCAGGTCAAACCAGTCCACAAAACTGGCAAAAGCAAAAGCATGCAGGAAATTATTAATTATTAACAATTAATACTGGGTTCAATAATTAAAAGACAAAATTAGTATTAGCCTGAGTATGCTTTCATAATAAATAGAGAATATTGTGCTCCTTGTGCAAGTGTTATCTACTAGGTTTAAATAAATGCTTGTTTCTCCAGCTCGATAAGGTTCTTTCCTATGCACTGCATGATCAGACAGAGGCATGATGTTCTAATGTCAGACAAAGTAACAGCCTGTTGGATAATAAAATCACATGGCCAAATTCAGAGTGGTAGAGACAAGAGGGATCCATTTCCATGGCATAAACAGAGCTTATCGAACACTGCAGTGTTTTTTCACAACTGAAAAAACACTGCAGAGTAAAGCTGATCAGTATATGGTGTCTTTAGGTTAAAAAAAAAATCATATGTAAAACTTTTCAAGTAGAAACACTGACAAGATGTCCCCTAGAAATAATAAGTTGAAGGCATTCTCTTGCTGATGCAGGATGACTCACATGTGCTCCATGTTCCCACAGAACTCATTTATGATATTAGAGGAAAGTTACCTTTGAGAACCTGAAAAGCTGCAGAATGAAAAGAACCTGTCTTAGTTTATAGTGACACCACAAAATGACATTAAATGGGCAGGCTATTCATAAGTAACACTTGTTATTCCACTGCATGATCTTTCTACCAATTGCAAATAATCTGAAAGCTACCTTAATTTCACAAATTCATTAACTGTGTAGAAATGCTATTTTTCTGCAAATATTTCATTCTCAGCCTTTCTTACAGAAGAGGTTACTATCTGTATTTAGACTTGATGGAAAGTTCAGGCCAATTTCATACTCCTGCATCACACATTTGCAGTTCTGTCATATCTCAGGTCCCTGTGAAGAATGTTTCTCTTGTCAATCATGCTACGCTTTGAGAACTCAGAAACGTGCACAACTTCAAAAACACTGAAGAAAACCTCTATTTTGTGTACGGGTAAGCCTGAGACTTAATTTTTTTTTTTTTTTTTAAATGCCTAACATATTCACCGGTCCTTTGGTTATAGCCTAATACTTCATTACAAGAATTTGCCTTGCTTGGTGTTCCCAGTGATGTTTACTCAAATGAAGCATAATCATTGCTACCTACACATATATGCATATTCATATGCATATAAGAGAGACGGAATATTTGGTAGGTATTTATATTAATATGTTTTAACTGAGACAAATGTATATGCCAAAATATCGTGTTGGAGGCAATTATGCATATAAGTGTGTGTATACCTATTTCTGTTTATGTGTACTTCACTCCAAATGTAATTTTCCTATATCCATGGAAACTACGAAGAGCACAAGAACATCTTCGGTAAATTCTCAACTACGGAACACTGTCTCAATATAGTCACCACCATCATTAACTATGAATTTTCACCAGCAATGATGAAAAGTCTGCATGCCATGCTCAAAAAAGACTGCATGACCATCTATAACACAGCTGATCTTTCAGGGCATTGTTGTCACGGCTGAAACACACAACCTAATGCCTCACTGTGCTCACATTCACACTGTTTGGTCTCAATAAACATTCAAAAAACATGGATGAATGTCAGTGGGTGCAATTTCCTTTGCATGGAGGAATTGAATTCCACACCTTTGCTTGATATACACTTCCATGTCAGACAGTTTTGTCATACTGCCCCTTCTGCTATCATCTGTTACACAGCATCAATATGTAATGGAATACTGGCAAGGAAGTACAACTTCGCCACAACACGACCAACATTCAACTCTGACCTTACTGGCCAACATAATAAAACTGGAGGCATTACTTTCGGAGCAGCCTTCATACATATTTAAAGAAGGTTGAGGTACATCTCAGATACCATAAATATCAGCTCAATAGACATAATCCCAGTAGCTCTTTAACAAATGGAAAAAAGGGTCTGACAGCTTTGCACCATCCACATCACAGGCAAAACCAATCCAACCTACTACTCCTTTACTTGCAGTCAAGGTTGAAGTTGCAGAAATAACACATCTTACATGAGCAATGGTAGAGTCTCAGATCAATGAATTTGTCCGGGCTAGGCACTCACTGTTTAAGTGGGAAGCAGCTCTGCCGAGACCTCAAGTGAAGCTGTACTCTGAAAAGCAACAGCTCAAGCGCTAAGGAGGCCAACGCTACAGCAGTGTTTCTACTCAGACACGTAGTACATCAAATGAGGCTGACCACAATATCCCTAGAAAAGTCATTTCTGATTGTTCTGTAAGATGTTTCCCACTACATAGCACCAGTGAGCTGACTGAATGACAGAACAAATAGCCTTCCTCACACGTGATGCAATACATTAGCCCTATCTGATGTAACTGATGGTGCCAACACTAGTGAAGTGGGAACTGTCACACAGGATCAGCTCTGATGCCTGTCTAGTTTCAAATTCTGTTTCAGATAGAGGCCAGCACAGAACATACCCAAGGTCAATGATAAGATAGTATGCTCTGAAGTAGCCTGCTTCAAATGTAGGTATCTGAGCCAGCACAGTCACAGCACATTAATTACCTGGATGGCAGCATTTCTCAGGAGATACATCAGGAAAGCAGCAGCTTTAATTAGATACCAATGTTAGTCACCAGCAAACTACTTAAACAAGAGCAAAACCCAGACAGTAGCATACTTCATTCCAAACTATCTTCTTTCTACAATATCAAAGGGGAGGTAGCACACAAAAGAAAAGTGACAGTTTTCAAACAGGTTGTGGTTTTGTCAGAGGTATTAATAGCCCATTAAAAGCACACATCTGCATCTTAACAGAAGAACCTTTCTCCAATTTTGCCTGCGAAAAAGCTTCATTGCTGCAAGTCTATCTGACACATTCAACAAACAAAACTTGCTGTGCATAAAAGAAATCTTTTATTGAATATTCAGTGTGTGCAAAAATACATATATGCAGCAATGTACAGAAAAAGGCTATATAGTTTGAAGTTATGCTGCTTTAAATAGCAAAAAACCTGGATGTAAGTATTAAGAATTAAATACCAGGAAGCTTCAGATTCAGATGATACTGAATTGGCAGATACTAATATACAGAACAATTACTGAGTCTGGCTTTAGCCAGTAAAGGTTAGGATTTGTTTCAAATTTGAACA